ACCCTCATTCTTGTCCCCATCTGTGACTTGGTTTGGTTGAAGGCGGTTTGTCATTCCTGGATGGACAGGGTAGTCATTTATGACCCCAAGGCCTCTGTGTCATCTGCCCAAGAGCGGTTTTTTTTTCCTTTGGGCAGTGGCCACACCCCTACAAGGGCCCAAATTATGTAAGAGTCGCGCCAGAATTAGAAAAGGAAAGTTCTTACTCTAGGAACTACTGACTCTGTCACCATGAAATTGTGGCCATTTTAAAGAGAGTTGAAGGCTTGGAGGAGTGAGAAATAACGCGCTTCATATTCTCCGGGGAGACTGCTCCCCAGCCAGCTGAATTCACCTAGAAATGAGTAAGATCAAATGACTCACTAATGTGAGAAGAGTCAGCCAGTCAACCAGGAATTACAAAGTTTCAAGAGCCCCTCACCTGTGACGCTTCAGGCTGTGCTGATAACCGAACAAAGAGAGAGACATCACCGTGTGCCAGAAACAAGACGTATACTTCCACTTTTATTTTTGAAGAAACTTCCTTGTTGGGAAAATTGTCTAGACTCAATGTTATGGGGGACTGCTCATTATTACTTTTTAAGATAAGATTTTTTTCGGCTCTTAGCAGTGAACCACGAACGGCGCCAAAGCCTGCATGCGGGTTTCCACACCAGGCTCACCGTGCGTCCCCTGCGCAGATGGCCGTGTGCCTGGGCATGCTTCCGGAAGCTATGTCTTTAGGCCCAACCGCGACTGCTAATGAGGTTTCAATAAGTTCTCTGGGGCTGACCACAGGTAGGAAGACCCTTGCTGTCAGGACATCAGCCTGACCGTACCGATGACCAGGAATAAGCAGGCGCGGACCACCAGCACCCTCGTAGAGCAGAGCAGAGTTGAAACAACCGAGGTCGCTGTATCAAAACTTGATGAGACTCACAACGGACAGTCCAGAGCTGCAAAGCAGTCAAGCCGGAAGTGTGGCTTGATGGAACCGGTTAGATGAGCCAATGCTGGCCAAGAGAAAAGTGGGCTCTCGACTGTGGAGGTCGTTTAAGGCACAAACCTATAGTCCTTTAACTGCCCGGTTCCCGCCTCCTCCATTTCTTCCTCGCCTCCTCCCCCACCTGCGATTTTCCCCCTTTTCTTTTTACCCCTAATTAAGAATGTGGTTTTTCTTTCCTGGGACTCCGATGGCCATCTTTTCTGTTTTCAGCAGGAGTCGGGGAGATGACCAGACCAAAAGGCAGTTTCACCAACCAGGGATGTCTTAGTTCAGGCACTTAGCCTTTAGACAACAATCAGCCCTTGTCAAACCATGCAGTTAGGCGAAATGAACCAGAAACAAGTATATCACACCTCCCCCCAGACCGTTTGAACTATAAGGAGTATGTTCTAGTATTATTAAAGCAGTTCAGTTTGTTTTTTTTTCCCAGCCCATAATATTGGAAAAATAATTTAAATTACTTTCTGAAACTTCAGATCCCAAGAGGTCTATCCAGTTTGTTACAATGTGTGTCTTACTTCCACACCTAAATTCAAGAAGTTTGGGGCTTTGCCTAGAAGGAAGAGGCAGGTTTTCTCCAGTAAAAACAAACAAGCAAGCAAAACCCCGCCCCCGGCCCCCCGCCCCCCACCACTCCCCCACCTCCTCACCCTAAGCTAGATTGGGTTTGAGAATTCTTCTGAAGGTTTTGCTTGTGCTCACAGGAGTTCTTTGCAAACCCCAAGGCACAGCATAGGAGTGCTTTTCTGTCCCAGACTCTGTGAAGGCTTCTTTATTAATAGAATGTTAATTTGGTCCTTTGAGGGCGCAAAGAATGGAGACATCATCACCTGGTCGACTATTCCAGGTCTGCTTAACAACATATGATAGGAAGAAGTAGGTTATCGGATGAAGGGCTCACTGTCTGGAGAACTCAGCAGCCTGGCTTAGCCATCGGGAGAGCCCCGAGGAACAGCTCCAGAGAGTGGTGTCACCTCCCCTCCTGTGACCTCACTGGAGACCTTGGCTCCACGCCACACCCATGACTCAGCTCTGTTTCCCTCTACCTGCTTGTTTTCCAATTACTACCACTGACTCCACGTACTTTCTCTCTGTTCTGTGGCTTTGCTTACTCATGGCTTCTGTTTCCTGTCTTCCTTCCCTCCACTTCTGCTTTTACCCAGGGTTGACCCTCCCAGGGTGTTTCTTACGCAAACTCGGCAGGACAGAAGAAAGTTCTTCATCGCCAGCCATGAGTCTTTGGGTCCTGTCCACTCCCGGTCTGATTAACAGCTCCCCCAACCCCCCCCAAAACCGGCAAGAACTGAGGGGTACACCTACAGGGAATGCCTCACCAAGTCACGGTGGTGCTTTTCACCGTAGAGGCACAGGCGGCTGGAACCAGTGACACTCAGCCTGACAGGCTGTGCAGGTTCGATTATTCAGTTTTGAAACTAAACAAACCCAGGGTTAATGTACGTTGACTGTGCTTGTCATCACCACTGAATCTGCCTGACGTGGAAGAGTCTATAGCTTGGCTAGTAAAGCCTTCCAAAAGTGAGACACGTAGGCCAAATTGTCTTGTTAGGAGAGAGTGGCTTGGCAGAGGCACTGAAGGAAGATTGCTGACCATAGGAAATGTAGAGTAAGAAGGGATCGTGAAATAGCTTGTTAGTTTCCCAGCCCGGATGCTACAGGGAAGCCTGGGAAAGAAGAAACAGCACCAGGATCAAAACAGCAAAACCAGCTCCTCACCCAGAGGGGCCAGGCTCTCTCTGTCTTCCATTTTGTATGTTCATAGGGATGTTTTTGTTGTTGTTGTTGTTTGCTAGAGAAAGATCCCTTAGTGTAACAATGAGTTTTAAACTCTCGTCGGAGAGAGAATCTCAAACCCAGCTTTGTTCTGTCAACATGTCTTCATTATTTTCTTTTCCAGTCTTCCCGTGTTTGAACAGTTTGGGTGGCGGGAGCTCTTTCATAAGTCTAATTTACTGGTATAAAGAAATACAGCAAGCCGCATAACAGGATGATGCTAATTCCTGTCCAGTGAGCACGTCTGGTCAAGAATTAATCCTTCATTACTGACTCAGAGAGGGAACTTTCATCACAGACACAAGTAAAACTGCCAGCTGACACTTTTGCCTTTGCACAAAGGGATTTGCCACACAGATATTCAGATGCGTTACAGACATTGAACTTGATTTTGTTGTAAACATCCAGTGTTTTGGACCTTGTTTTTTTAATTGTACAATCAGGGGACTAAGGAGGAGATAAGCAGGAGATGTTACCTCATGGGTTATTCACACGTATTATCTAATATGTAATTTTATTGTGATTATAATTATAATTCCCTGAAAAGCATTCATGTTTCTCAAATATGAAGTAGCATCATCTTTATAATTATGACTCCAGGCTTCTCTGTACTCTTTCTAAAGAGCTCTTGAAAACACTTATTTTATCTGATTGATAAGGTTTTCTTTTCAGATTCTTTCCAACGATGAAACCGTCACGTAAAACCCATCTCAGTGTCACACCCCAGACAGGTGTTGGTTCGCATGCATGTGTCAGTGATCCTGACCCACTCGCCGATTGGTAAGACGGATGCCTTAGTTACCTTCCGACGGCTGTGATACAACACACTGACAAGAAGGAAGTATGGCAGAACGAGTTCATTCTGGCTTCCAGCTATGGAAGGATTTGGTCCATCTCAGAGAGGAAGCCATGGCGGTGGGCTCCCATGGTTATGGATCAGGTCTCTCTTGGGTGTGGGGACATCCAAAGGGTCCATGTGGGTTGGAAGGTTGGGTCTAAGGGGGATCACTCACGTGGTGGCATTGGCGCTGGCTGCAGGCACATGGCCTTAGTCTCTTCCCACAGGAGCTTCTTCCTGGAACTACTTGAGTGTCTTTACAAGACGACAGCCAACTGCTTCTTTAGTGACCAGTCAAGAAACTGTGGTAGAAATCTTAGTGTCTAAGTACGTTTTGCCCCCTAATGACAGTAGTCACACGTCATCAGCTCTATCTGTGCATGGCATTTGTATGCTTCCAAACCTAGGGTACTGCCTCTCACTAGCCCTTCAGAGGAGAGCGTCCCTCTCCCCTTAATTCTAACCAGAAAAGCCTGGAGGGAAAAGCTTGTCGGTCAAGTGCACATTGTGTGGTCATTCCACTGCCCCCTGGCTCTGTTGTTCTAATCAGAAGCGCTTAGCGTTCAAAGCAAAGAGATTTTCCGAAGTACTCAGTGTTACTTCCAGAAAAAGGGAAGGGCTTTTGGACAAATGTCGATGGCCCATGAAATCAGACACCTGAGTTTCTCACGGGTTGGCACTGCGTTACTTTCCTCGAGCTATTGCTTTCTTGGCTCTAAATCTGACTGTCCCCTGTCAGGGGCAGCCTCTGCCGTGCAAGAGAAAGTTCTTAACATCTGTCTGCAAATGTAGACGCTATGAGCTATGCATCATTTTCATCTTTTTTGTTTTTTGTTTTTACGAGACAGGGTTTCTCTGTATTGTTTTGGAGGCTGTCGGTCCAGCCCCGCCTTGAACTCACAGAGATCTGCCTGCCTCTGCCTCCCGAGTGCTGGGACTAAAGGTGTGTGCCACCACCGCCCGGCATCATTTTCATCTGTTAGTTGTGCCAGCGGTAAATGGCTCAAATCACCAGTGTAGACACTGAACGATGTGACATTGAAACAGCACCATGGGTGGCAGAGATTTGAGAACATTTATCAGGACATCAAAATTGGTTGTTTTTCTATCACTGACCTATTCTCATCAATGTACTTATATAGTCATTTATCATCTAACTGTATCTATCTATCTATCTATCTATCTATCTATCTATCATGTTTATTATCTTCTCTCTAGCTATCATGTATCTAGCTACCATGTATCTGTTATATTCTAAGAGGAAATATATATATATACACATATATATATCTTCCTATAGATAGGTGTATATTTAATGTGTTTGTATGTAATATGTATTTACATATGTATATAGGTAATACATACACATGAAAGTTAACGTGAGCATACATACATATAAGCGTTTAATATACTCAGAACAGAAGAGCAAGAAGGAGACAGATTCGTTGCTGACGGGGTGTGATAAAAATGTTCACTGACTGGACAGCGGGCCTCAGCCTCCGTCCTTTTGGTACAGAAGGGTGAACCAGTGCGGGAGAGTGCTGCTCACCCACCACTGAGCCACCAAAGATGGAAGGAGGGTAACAGAAAACCCTCAGATGGCTTTAACCAGTTCAATGTCAGGCATGACACGCTAAGTGTCATGACAATTTCTGTCACCTCGGGAGGGCCTGCGGCTTTTCAGCTTGAGTTTTGGGGCCAGCAGGTATCACCAAGTCTAACTCAGAAGTGTCTTTGTGCCATGAACGTGCTGGTGTGAGGCGCCTCATCCGCCCAGGGTAGCAGAGGCCACGCGCTTCCGAGTGTGGGGAGAGACGGTCATCACCATCAAACCTTGTGTCTCTCACAGCCTCTCGTGGGCGTCAGTGTGATCTGTTGCCTGAGACTGGGTCACTTGTAAAGAATGACTTTACTAGGGTCACAGCTTTGGAGAAGGGCACAGTTGAACAACAAAGAGAGAGAGGAAAGGACGACTACCCCTGAAGTATGACGGAGGCTGTCACCGATATGTGGGGCAGCATGAGAGGAGAGGGTGTCTGGGAGAGTCCAGACTGGACCTTGCTGGACGACTGAACCAGTCATGAGAGGAGGGGGGAGGCTGGTGAGGGAGGGAAGAGAAGGAATGCCAAGAGTCCAGGAGACCAAGGGGGAGCTGGGGACCAAGCGAGTTGGAAGCCAGAAGAGTGGCGTGGCACATGGGGCCAGAGGAGCTTCGGGATTGGAAGCCCAACCCGGGGTAGAGGTGTGCCAGGTCCCGGTGGTGCTGAGAGCCTGGTGGCTGGCGTCGGCTTTGATGTGTCAATAAGCACCTTCCGGGTGTCCAGGTTCAAGGCCTAGCGCACAGTACCAGCATCAGCTTGGCTCTCAGGGTGCCTGGCAGCACCAGATAAAAACTCCATCATTTATGCCAGGGCCTTTGAGAACACAGACTCAGAAGTGATGAGAGAACTACCAGGTTGTTGTCCCTGGTGTCCTAAGGAACTCCTCTAGGCCCCACCTCTCAAGGGTCCACACCTCTCCTGATATGACCACCCATCTTCCAACACTTGAAGACAAACCATGGCAAACTACAGCACAATTTCCTATAGCTTTCTCAGAGATCTGGGACCACGGCTCAGTCGGTAGAGTGCTGTTGCTGGACTTTTCTTGCCCCGCCTGTTCCTGTTGGCCGATGGCTAGGGCTTCTTATTGGCTAGCTCTGTCTTAATTACCTTAATTACTAACCCACTTGTATTAAACTAAGTGTTTCCACATGGTCTTATCTTACCAGACAATGCCTGGCCCGTCCTATCCTCCCAGACTCTACATGGCGTCCCCTCATGGTCTCTCTCTGCCTACCTTCCCCAGAATTCTCCTCGTCTCCTAGTCCCAACTATCATCCTGCCTGTATTGGCCAAACAGTGTTTTATGCACCAACCAATAAGAGAAACACATACACAGAAGGACGTCCCCCATCAGAGTGTCTGCCTACCATGCACTGAATTGCTGGCGCTCACCGGCACTCAGGATGAGGAAAGGAGCATCATGTGCTCACAGTCATCTCTGACTCAGCGGCAAGCTCAAAGCCCTGTCTGAAAAACAACAAAACATATGTCTCCACATACACACATATATGAGAATCACATGGCTATGTGTACATATGTGTACCCCTGCATCAGAGGTGGAGCTTAACTCTTCTCAGTACGGGCTCCAAATAGTGACTTTCTTTCACAGATTGAAAAGAAAAATAAGTTTGGAAGGGGGAAAAAAAGAGGTAATTTACAGTGAAGACACTGGGCTGGAGACACCATGATGGGACAGTGCAGGTCACGTTTCCGTGTGTGTGTGGACTCTGGTAACACCTGATGGTGTTGGTCCTTCATTTCTCTGGGATTCGTTCCCAGATCCTCCCAGCTAGATTGTGGGGAAACATCAGCCAGACCTCTCGAGGGATCCTCCCAGCTAGATTGTGGGGAAACATCGGCCAGACCTCTCGAGGGACGTGCTGCACAACCTGATCGATTCTCTTCACAGCCATCAAGGTCATAAAAGTCACAAAGACTCAGGAGGGGAGGAATCTAGAAGTCATGATTGTTGAGTGTCATAAGACCTGGACCAGAGGAACATTAGTGTGAACATCAGTGAACCCAGAGGTCGGTTGATGGTTTTGACAAATGTGCCATGGCCACATAAGGTGTTAGCACTGGGAGACCGTTACACGAATGCACTTATTTGTACAAGCAAGATATCACCACACGTGAACATTCATAGAGTATTCGGCCCCGATACTATTCCACACTACAAATGCATAGCATGTGTGTCTGTAGGCACATCGGGACTATTCATACTATGCCTAACAATCAAATGAACATTTGTAGAGAGAGTATTAGGACCCAATACTATTCTAAACTATAAACATATAGCATGTGTCTCTGTAGACACAGCAGAACTATTGCACTATGCCTAATGATTAAATACGGAACTGGAGACATTGTTTCAGCCACCGGGATGCTGGCTGCTCTTGCAGAGGACCCAGGTTCAGTTTCCAGCACCCACACAGCGAATCACAGCCATCTGTAACTCCAGTTCCTGGGGCTCTGACACCTTCTTCTGGCCTCTGCGGTCTCCAGACACACACAAGGTACACAGCCACACACTCAGGCTAACACCCGAACACACATGATAAAGTAAATCTAAAACAATTTAAATAAATGAGCAAGAGATATTTGGTTGTCCTTTGGGGAATAAACGCATAAAATAAAAATAAATCAGATACAATGGAGGCTCCCTTTGTGTAACAGGCACATTTAACGCAGTGCCTAGTGTATGCGAGGTATTGTTCTAAAAACTTTTCACATGCACGTAAAATCACTTAATTTTCCTGAAACCTCATGATGGAGATATTGGTATGTTTGTAATTTTCCAGCTTCTTAAAATAGTTTAAGATTTATGGTAGGTCGAGAAGGCATGGGACCAAGGTCAAGTGTGTCCCTTCCCCCCCACTCGAACACGGCACACAGTGGGCTGTAGAGATGACTCAGTCAGTAAAGGGCTTGCTGCGAGGATGTGGGCATGAACTCCATGCTCAGGACTCACGGAAAAGCCGGTGCTGGGGACGGGAAGGTTGCCGAGGCAGGAATAGGATGCCTGGGGCTTGCTGGCCAGCCAATGCCGCTGAATCCACGGGCTCAAGGTTCAGTGAGAATACCTGAAGCAGAGAGCAGTAGAAGAAGCACTTGATGTTGACCTCTGGCCTCTATACACATGTGCACAAGTGCCAACACACACACACACACACCCCACATAACTGTAGCACAATAATGAAGAAACTGATGCTTGTGCAATAAGCACAGCTCCCTTAGATTTCCCATTTCTGAGCACACACCTTTGCGTGCGTGTGTCTAGTTCTGTGCCGTGTTTTTTTTTTTTTTCCACATTACTGAAGAGAAAACGGGGCCTAATAAGGTCATCTTTCCCTAGGACATTCAGTTTGCATATGGTGAAGGTCAAGTCTGGGCAAGTTGCTACAGAGTCAACATTGCTTATCGGTAAAGCCCTACTGAGTCTCCGCAGCAATCAGAGAGATTGCATAATAAACTTAAGGACAAGGTGGGACCAGGGAAAAACAAAAAAGCAAACAAACAAAACCCTTAAAAAAAGAAAACCAAAGCACACCTATACCCGTGTGAGCTGACGTGCAAATACCATCCGCGATGAGAAATCAGCTCACAGAACAGTCTTTGCCTTTGGTCCCTCTCTGAGGACTGCAGTTTGCTGTGCACCTTGGGGCAGCATTTATAAGTTGCTGATGTTCCCTGCTGTTACTCGTCATTACCTCTCTCTCGGCTATGGTCGAGCGTCTGTGAATACTGTGCTATTAAAATAACTTTTTATCAAGACCACAGTCATTCCACATCTGCACAGCTCCTCTTATCCATTGTTGATTTGACTCATCTTCCTGGGTTTCCTGGACACTGACGCTCCTGCTTCCCAAGCCCCTCCTGTCCCTCTGTCGTCCTCCAGCCCGTGGGTTTGGATGCCTGCCGTACACCGTGGCTCCTCGTGCTTCCACTTATGACCCTGCTTCTTGGCTGCAGGGTTGTTTGTACAATCACCCTCCTTACACTTCTTCTTGAAATCTTTTTTTTTTCCAGACAGGGTTTCTCTGTATTGTTTTGGAGGCTGTCCTGGAACTCGCTCTGTAGACCAGGCTGCCTCAAACTCACAGAGATCCACCTGCCTCTGCCTCCCGAGCGCTGGGATTAAAGGCGTGCGCCACCACCGCCTGGCTCTTCTTGAAATCTTATGGGTTTCAGAGTCAACATTTAAAACTTGCAGGCTTTTCTTCCCTTCCTCCTAGCTCTTCGTGCCCACACGAGCTCCTCCTCCTCTCAGTGAAAGGTAACCAAGTCAGAAAACATGGCAGCAGGCTCCATCGTGCCCTATCCAGTTCGCAAACACGGCGGTCCTGCACCGTTTCCAATCATCGCTTCTCTGACGGCGTCTAACCACCATTTCCAATCATCCCTTCTCTGACGGCGTCTAAACCACTTCCGCTGCTCTCCCAGCCTATCTCATACACACAACACATACATTAACATCTGACGACCTTACTAACTCTAAACGCCTATCCTAACCCCTTTTTATTGCGACACCCTCTCCCCAAGATCTGCATGCTGACTCCTCCCTCTGCATCCCACTCGGCGCCCCGCCCCCGCTCCCCGCCCCCCGCTTCCCCCTCCCCCGCTGTCTATTCCTCTTTGCCTTACTTAGCTTGCCTTGTCTAGAACATTTTCCCCTCCGCCTTCGCCTTCACTGGCAGAATGACACCTCCCCGTGCTCTCAAGTGTTGGCTCAGTGAGGCTTTCCCGAATGCTTTCTCTGCTAGACATGCTTAATTGCTCAATCACTTCCTTCCGCGTTCCGAGCTTGATCTCACCTCGGGGCTCTGTGTCTCCGGTGCCTTTGGTGGGTGAGACTCTGCTCCCCACGATTCTTAGGGGTGCCCTGCTTTGACCGTTTCTTCCGGCTTAGCTGTCTCTCGCTCGGCCTCAGAACCACCGGGGGCTGAAGTCGACGCCCTGTTCTCCAGTGCCCTCTACTCCTAGTTCTGTCTCCTCGTTTTTGACATTGTCTGCGATTATTGTTTTAGATTTTGAACATTTTATGAGCATGAATGTTTGTCTGTGTTTACATATGTGCATCACCTGTGTGCCTAGTGCCCATGGAGGTCAGAAGAGGGCATTGGATCCCCTAGAGCTGGAGTTACAGATGGTTATGGGCAGCCACGTGGGTGCTGGAAATGGAACCTAGGTTCTCTGTAAGAGCAGCAGGTGCTGAAATGCTAACCCATCTCTTTAGGCCCCATCTGTGATTGCTTTATTCGTTGAGCTGTATGGGTTTGTGTGGACAGAAGTTTCTGTCCCGCCCAGTCCTGCAGCCCTTTAGTCCCAAATAAGCACACAGAGGCTTCTGTTGATTATAAACTGTCTGGTCTATTGCTCAGGCTTCTTACTGGCTGACTCTCTGTTCATTAGTAACCCATTTCTATTAACCTGTGTATCTCCAAGTGATACCCGGGGCTCTTGCTTCCTCGGCAGCTACATGACGTCTTCCTGACTTCACCTACTACTTTTCTTTATTCCTGTTTGGATTTCCTGCCTGGATAAATCCTGCCTGTCCATTGGCTGAAAGAGCTTTATTTAGCACCAGTAAGAGAAACATATTCACAGCATACAGAAGGACATCCCATCATGTTTGTTTCTAAGTTCCCCAGATAAGATGTATTTTCTAGTATACAGTAAACTTGAAATAAAGATTTTAATGAATACAAATTTAAAGGCAATTTAGCGTGTATCAATTATTCTACTGAATGATATTGAGTAAGACACTCATCCCTGATCAGAAATGAGTCTTCTAAAAAGTCAAAGTCCCCAGGGACACTCCTCCTCCAGAAGGCCACACCTCCTCCAGAAGGCCACGCCTCCTCCACAGGGCCATGCCTCCTATACGAGGCCACACCTCCTCCACGAGGCCTCTCCTTCTCCACAAGGCCACACACCTAATCTTTCCCAAACAGTTCCACTCACTGAGGACCAAGCATTTAAATGCTGGAGCCAGTGGGGGCCATTGTCATTCAGTACACCACAGTGGGGGCCACTGTCATCCAGTACACCACAGTTCTTTTCACATGAGCTGTGGGTGACTGAACTCAGGTTCAATGAAGCTACCTCCTCAGCCCACAAGAAAGCCTTTACAAACACACACAGATTAAAACAAACAAACCAAATACCCTTGAGCAGACACAGACTCCCATATCAATCAATAATATTAAAGTAATAACGCAGCAAATTTGAAAAGAAATTAGTGCCCAGCTAAAGAGTGTATAAGACACACAAAGGACTTACAGTGCAGACTTGCAAAAAAAGTAACACACGTATAATTCAGAATTTCTGGACTGTGTATAAACTACAATTGTGCTACTTCCATAAATAAAGGATTAAATAAATAACTGGAAGTGTAAATGCCAAAAGAGATCCTTGTTGACGGGATGGTTTGACTTTTCACAGAGAGCCAGAGAAATCCTCTGGAAAAGGGATTTCTATCAGTATGGGATCCCCCGGAACTGGCGTTATAGTGCACTCCTGTGGGTTGTGTCCTAAGCCAGAGCAGCACGAGTTCTTAACCACGGAGCCATGTCTCCACCCATCTATACATTCCAGTGAAAAGGAAATTAAAGACTCATAAACACTGACCTCTAGCTCACGTGCATGCGTGTTGAAGTGGTGGGGGACACTATGTGTGACTGCAGTTTACCAAGACACGCAGAAAGGAAAGCCCATTCAAGACTTTTCCAGTCACTACGACGGAACACTGAGCAAGGTTTATGGCTCACAAACTGAGGCTTGAAGTGACCATGGTGGGGACACGGTGGCAGGAGCTTGTGGTGTCGTCAGCAGTGACAGAGAGAGAGGGACACCGGGGCTCCTCAGGCCCACTCAGAGGCATGTGTCCACGGAGATTCTAAAGCCCGTCAAGCTGACAGCGTAGGTTGACCATCTCCAGAGATAAATGGGCATAGTAAGTTAAATATACAACAACAACAACAAAAATAAATGGCAGGCCAAGGATATATGTTTGCTTACTATAAACTTTTTAAAAACATCTTGGCTACAGAGAACAAAATGTAGGGACAGACAGCATGGTGATGTGGGGGACACAGGAAATTTTATGCGGCATTTGGTGACAAAAACATGGTGAGAAGGTGAAGGTGACCAGAAGCCTGGCTGTGGCAAGCTCTGTGGACGAGATCTTGTTTCATCCTAGGCAGAGATGTCTCTCGTCACTCCCTAGTCTCAGGGCTGCTCTCTCCAGTGACCTCATCAACCTCCCTGCCTTTTGCAATGTGTTTATTTAGATCTGAATCAGTGTGAAGAATGCTTTTACGTTTCCTGTGGGTTTGCATAGCCCTCCTTGCTTTGATGTCATACAACTTTAACATTTTTTGCATGCCAGTAAAAATTGCTATTTGAATGCATTTCTAGAGGACAGAGGTTTCAAAGGCCTTTGTTTCTACACCTTGGAGCATGTACTTTGAGTTTTTCTCCAAATAAGCAAGGGGCAATTACCAATAGACAATAGGGGATGAATTCACTTTATGCTTTTCTCTGTATAAAACTTCTAAGTGAATATCGTCTCTATCATAAACACCGAGGACCTCCTTAGATGGTTTGTTATAAAAACAAACTCCAAGGCCTGGACAGTCACAACACTTCCATTTTAATAAGCAGAAAGGCAAATATAATTCTTCGGAAGTCTCAGTCGGTTTGCTGGAAAGATGGATCTGTTCAAGGCTCCGCGGGCTTGTTTCTCCTCTTTCCATTTTTCTGCTTCCTTTTGATAATGCGAGAACTATTTGCAAAGGTGTAATGGGCGATGATGTCACAGGCTTGGGAACACTCTGTGTTTTCCATGTAGGGTGGTGAAGCAGCAGAGACCAAGCAAGCCTCCTATTTCCCAGGAGCCCTCTATAAAAGCAAAAGCTGGTCTCACGTCTGGTGTGAAGCCTATGGAAAATAAATATTCTGTGCACACATAAATGGATTGGCAAAACATAGCCAGCAGACCAGAATGGCACACAGTGAGACGGGAGCTCATATAAGCTACTCCTAGCACCAAAGGATAAAACGCTAAATATCCATGTGTGCACTAAGTTAGTGCATTCCGTTGGCAGAATCTTCTTTGATTCATTTTGTTCTTTGGAGGCAGGATGTTATGTAGCCCAGGACTGCTCTGTAGTTCAGTGTGTAGGTCACATTTTTTTATCAAGCTAGGTTGAGAGACCCTCAGCTGAGTGAACGCCTGCATCAGATGGGCTTGACGGGCAATCTGTGAGATGCTCTCTTGATTATGATTGACGTGGGAGGGCCCAGCCCCCTGTGGTGGCACCACCCTTGGGCAGGTGGTCCTGACTTGTGTAAGAAAGCTGTCTGGGTAAGCCAGTAAGCAGCTCCTGCCTCCAGGTTCCTGCCCTGACTTCCCTTTTTGGCAGTATTTTTCTCCTCGGCCCCACGAGTGCTGGTGTCACAGGTGTGTACCGCCCTACCTGGCAAAAGGGGTGCTGGTAGCTTGTTACTTTGGCCTTTTGTGAAATTCCCACAATTCCTGTTTCCACTTCAAAAAACGGCCACGGTGTTGGCCTAAATCAATAGCCAGTCTCTCTGCTTCTTCACCTAACAGAAGTGCGCTTTTGTTTTGGCGCCTATTCCCTGGGCCGGGGCTGCCAGGGTTCCTTACCTCAGCGGTTCAGCTGTGGATCTCAGCGTTCTAACAACTTGCTGTTGCCCGGCCGCAGACCGGTTTAGACCGCCGTAACATACTTCTCCTGCAGTGAGTGTCTGCCTCGGGGCTTCGGGGAATGCCATCCTGGGTGACACATGGAGAGGGACAGCGATGTCACTTTCTGGATCCTCTTGTGTTGGATCTGCAGGTGGCACCCGGGATGGCCTTAGTCTCCTTGTTCCGAGGCTGAAGACGGGGCCAGCGGACAGAGACGATGAAGATGGGGCCCCGGCTCTGTAGCTCACCTTCCCTTCCCATTAGCCAAATGTGACACACGTTTTCTGGTGCCAGCTGCTCAGAGACAGGGCTCCAGGGGGCCCACCAAGCCTAAACCTTACAGTTCGATCACCTAGGAACGGCCAGCACAGAAAGAGAATAAACCTCAATATTTGGATTTCACTTTAAAAAAAACTTCAATATTTGCTTGTTTGTTTGTTTTGCGCATGTGTGCACAGGGACATATAGGTGCCTGTGTGCATGGGTGCCCTGTGTGTTCCAGTATGAACGGGGCACACGGGCACCCTGTATGCACGTGGAGGTCAGAGGATAACTTGGGGTTATTGGTTCTCTCTTTCCCGTGGTCCTGGTGACCACACTCAGGTTGCCAGGCTTGGTAGCAAGCACTTTACCCACTGAGTCATTTTGCCAGCCCTTGTCTTCCATTTTTAATATGGCACGAAAGGAGATAATTCAATGCATGTATTAAATAATTAACATAAAAATTTCCCTAAGGTGATTTTATTAAAAGAGGCTTAAAAGGATATAAGATTTGA